TCCTACGTATAAACTTTCTTTAGCAAATTAAGATTTTTTATTATTTACAAATTATGGCATTGTTAAATTTAAAAGGAAATATAAGAAGAAAGAAACGGATTTAGACTTGTTCTCAATGTTAAGCGAGCAGTGCCAGGAAATCTTCTCCATGCCCCGTTTTGAATTCTTAGGTAGTAGGGGATTGCTGGGAAGTGTAGGCAAATTTTAAATGCAACCGACTGCCTGTTTTCCATAGTCACATTTTGCGAATGTAACTCCAAGAGAGTAAATTTTACCTCAAAATTCTCCAACAACTGCCTTCAGACCTCGTCTCTGTGCATATGTATACGGCGTACACTTGACGTCTGCCATGTGTACCTGTGCCCTGGAACCCAAGAGTGGAACTGAATTTAATTACTGGATTGGGTTGCAATGAACCCATGCAAACGACCCAGGTCTGCCCTCTTTGCGGCGGCTCTCAATAACACTTTTAATTAAAGCAAGAAAAGCAGTAAAGTAAGACAACAATAGCAATAACCCACCATGAGCACCAGGTTCCCCGAACGAACACGGCCCCATCGTGTTTTTCCAGCGCTACCCGAGTATTTCTGGGTGGCGAGCCGCTGGCACATGATGCTACCAGCAGCCAGACCTCGAAGCCCTTTATACGCAGAGGACCCCACTGACAGCAGAAATGGGCGTTTTGACCCAAACCATTCCGCGGCCCCTTTCTGCCACCCGCGCAGCTAGAAAACTTGCGGCGGCGACTGGCCTGCGTTACGCGCTCTTTGCGCTCTGCGCCCCGGGAGTTGCCAGCGGAGAAGCGCCCCCGTCCACCCGAGCGTCGCCCCTAGGCAAGCCCCAGGCTTATACCGCGAGGGACCTAACTCGCCGCGCCTCGGCGTCCACCCTCAACCCTGACACCATCCAGGCCAAGCAAACGAAGCAGGGCGGGGCTGGGCATTAGGGGCGCCGCCTGCGGAAGGTGCCGAGCCACGTGCGCGCTGCCAGGACCCCGAATCCTGCAAGTCCAGCTGCGGCCTCAGCTGCTCCCAGAACTGAGCCCCCGGCGATAGGGCGGGGCCTCCTCCTCCAGCCTGGACGTCGGCTCCCACCCACCCACAGCGCAGGCCCCAGCCCCGAGCCCCAGGGTCGGAGTCGTTCCCCGCGGCTTCTCCCAGGGCTCGCGCAGAGCGAGGCCCAGCGGCGGACCCCGCTGGTCCAACCTTTGCTGGATTCCGGGCTGGGGATCTCGGGGGGCCCTGGGTCGGAACCGAGCCCCAGTCCCGGCTCCACCTGCCCTGGAGCCCTCGGGCGTTTCCTGGCCGAGGGGAAGAGCCCGAGCTAGGCTCCTCCGCTCCCGACGTCGGGCTCCCCCTCCCTAGACCGCAGCGTCTCAGCTAGAGGGAAGCTCGCAGCGTGCCTAGGCCAACCCCTTCTGCGACTCTTTTATTTTCCTGTCACTCTCTGTTCTCGGTTTCTGCTTTCTCCCTCTTACAGAATACCAGAGCGCGCGGGGGCCGGAGAAGCGTCCACACCAGCCCCTTTCCTAGGCCTCCAATCTGCCCTTCCCCACAGCCTCGTCTGTCCCTCGACATCTTCCTGCCTCTCTAGCTTCTCCCCGCATTCCCCTGCCGGGTTAGCCAGCCTCCCTCCGCCTCTCTACGTTTGCCTCTCCCTTTCTTCCTGGTGTAGCATTAAACAAATCCAGGGGGGTCGAGGTTGGAGAAATTCCGGCAACGTGCACAGAAAGAATGCCTTATTCTGTCCTTGTAACCTCTGCGGTCACTACAGTTTGGCCTCCCCTTGAGGTGGTGCCAGCGCGGGTACCGCCGTGCAGGCCGCAGCTGCCGAGGCGCCGGCTCGCTCTCTCTTGCTCTCTAGCTGTGTATGCGTATGTTCGAGTGTGCACTTTTGTGTCTGTGGTTGCAAACCAGGGCAGGCTCTCCAAACCGAAAGCTGAGCAGAGTTGGGTGTCTAGGATTCTAGGTCTGCGGGCAAGTGAGATGGGGGACTTTTCCGGGGGTCCCGACGCCGATCTGCGCCTAGACTCCACGCGTCCCCAGCCCCCTGCCAAATCTCCCTAGGGCCGAAGCAAGGATTCCGTGTCGTCCGAAGAGGTTGTCCACTTGCTCGGCGGCGGGGATCCGCCCCTCGGTCCAACGCGGCTGGAGTCCGGGAGGTCCGAAGCAAGCTGGCCAGGCGCCGGGGGAGCTCGACCGGCACAAGGGAACGGCGACTGGGTCTGGGTACCCCGCGGAGGGGGAGGGGGTCTCTGTGAATTCTGAGCCTGGCACTGGCGCCGCGCGACCCGCAGGGCTGTGACTAGGGGCGGGCGCCCCCTCGGGAACGCACGTTTGTTTCGCGTTGGTCTGGAGCGCGCAGAGCAGGGCGCGGCGGCGCTGGGGTCAGGTATTTCGGAGCCCGTGAACCCATCATTTCTGATGCCTGGCCTAACCCTCTGCCCTTCTTGGGTTCAGACAGGAACGGAGTCGTGCCTGGTGTCTCCTCCCCCATCCCAAAGCCCCACAAAGCCAAAATACACACGCAAAACTCACCAAAGCATCTCACCAACACAACAACTGAAGCCAACACACGAAAACATAAACCAAAATAACCCCAAAAAACAAAACAAAACAAAAACCCTCTCCAAACGCTCGGCTTGTACAAACAAAATAAAAATCGAAGACAACAAAACACATACAAACACAAAATTCACCTAACGCAAAACACGCAGACAACATCCACTAATACAAAAATCAAAACACATCAAAACACCGCGTAGAAGCAACAGCCTTCCAAACGACCCAACAAAAGACAACCTCCAAGGACAAAACACAAAAAAATTAAAACCCACAAGACGGAAAACAAAAGCCACCAAAAAAAAAAAAAAAAAAAAAAAAAAAAGACCAAGGCTCCTAGAGCAAAACCCTGTGAAATGAAATCCACGAAAAAAAAAAAAACTACACACAACCCCCCCCCAAAACAAAAGACTCTCTCACAGATGTTGAAAAGAATATTCACAGGAAAAAAACAAAAACAAAACAACCCCTCTAAATAGAAAACAACCCCAACAACTCCCGCCCCCAGCCTGGGGTGAAATGTCAATTCCGGGAGGGCTTTTGATCTGCAGGCGCGGGCAGGCCGCTCCTCGGCGGCTCCGCCACCCCGCGCGGGCCGGGCGGGAGGGCGGGGAGCGGGGAGCAGGGACCGGGGCTGGACGGCGGGAGGAAGAGTGCAGCGCTCCGACAGGGCCAAAAATCAAATCGCCGGGGCAGGGACCCGGACTCGAAGGCTGCGAGAAGGAGGCGGCGCAGGGGGACTGCGCAGATTACTTGGTGGTTGGTGGGGGGTGGGGGGGCCGCCGGGGAATCCACAGCCACGTTTCCGATTGTGGCGAAATCGGCTCAGTGGATAAGAGATGTCCGGTTCCCGCCAGCCTCCCCCCACCCCCCCTTTCTCGGGCTCCGGGCTCTCCCCCCTAGATTGCGGCCCAGCCTCCTGACCACCCCCTCCAAAAAACAAACAACACTCTCGCTGAGGACGATTCACTTTCCGAAACTGCCATTGTCCGGAGGGCCAAGAGTCCTCCCTGCAGAGCGCTCCCCCCCACCCCGCCCTGGAGAACCTTGCCCCTGCGACCACCCCACAGCGGGGCCCCACAGACATCCAGTGGCCAAGCCTTGCAGCTGGACTCGGGACTGGGGGGGGGAGGGTTTGGGCAAGGGAGTGAAGTTTTAAGCCCGGGCCGAAGAGAGCGGGCTGGACATGCCACACCACTGCCAGGTCTCTCTCGGGCTGATTTCCCCTCTGGAAGCAAGTCCTGGGGGCCCGGGCACGCAGCAACGCCTCCGTGGCTTGAGGGCAAAGGGATTTCATTTATGGGCCGGGGTAAGGTGTCCAGGACTCCCGCCAACCTCCAGAACCTCCTGAGATGGTTCTTCTCAGACCCAGCGCCCAAAGTGAAGGCCCGGATTCTATCTCCAGCATTTCACATGTGCTTCGGGCCAGAATGGGACATGGCGTGGGACGGAGCTCTGGGACCAGGAGGCTGAGTGGGGACCTGGGGGCTTTAGGGTTCTGGCACTACCCTAAAGTAAGGGACCCGGCAATGGTGTTAGAGCTGCAAGTGGGGGTGGGGGTGGGGTGGCTGGGAGCTCTGGGGGCGGGCGCCGCCCTAGGGGTCAATCTGAGGAATCTGGAACGCCCCCCTCTCTGCCGGGCGACACTACTTGCCTTGGCACCCCCCTTCAAAAACACCTGCCTGGCAGGGTGGGTTAATTAAAAAAAAAAAAAAAAGAACCCGGCCTGCACCCGCCTACGCGGCGGGGGCTTGCACCCAGAGGGGTCACCCGCCTGGCGCACCCCGCACCGGGCCGGGACCCCGAGACGCGGGGATTCGTAGAAGGTGCGGCCACTCGAAGCCAGGGCTTCCCCGCCTGCCTTCGGTCCGCACCTTCCCGTGGGCGCGCGGGCTAGCGCCCGGCTCTGTTTAAAGCCTTCCTTCCCTCCCCCCAACTCCCTATAAAAGTCCAGGGCGGCGCGGCAGCGGCACTGCTGCTCTCCCGGCCTCCGCGCGGCTCCGGCCCGGCCCGGCCCGCCCCGTCTGGGCAGCTGAGCAGGCCCGGCCGCACAGCGCGGACCCCTTGCCCTGCTCCGGCCCGCAGCGCGGGGCGGCACGCTGGGGGCGCGGCGTGTCTGGGGACATCTTGTGATGTTGGCGAGAACAGGACATGATCTCACATGGCGAGAAGCTCTTTAGTTCCTTAATCATTTCACGGTGCCTTCGGACGCTTTTTTTCCACCTAAAACGTTTAGTTTCAGCTCAGTGATCAGCTACCCCAGCTCGGCGGGGGAGCGGAAGGCTTGAATTATTCCGACCTGTGAGCGGCCCCTGGCACCAAAAAAAAAAAAAAGAGAGAGAGAGAGAGAGAGAGAGAGAAAGAAAAAAAAGGAAGAAAGAAAAGAAAAGAAAAAAGAAAGAAAAAGACGCACACAAAAAAGTGGAAACTTTTTCCCTCGTCCACTTCAAGTTCTGAAAAATCAAAATGGATTTAGAGAAAAATTACCCAACTCCTCGGAGCGGCAGGACAGGTAGGACTGCGATTCGGGTGCCAGGCTCCAGGCGTGCTACTTCCAGGACCCAGCCAGCTCTGGTCCTCAAGCACGTCGGCCCTGGGGGAGGGAGGGAGCCGCATTTTCTCAGGAATTGACTGCGTGTCTGTCTGCGGTGAGTTTGTATGTCTTTTCACCAATTTGTTCACACACTTCTGCAACAGCCCAAGTGTCTATGAGTTTGTGTTTTTCTCTGTTTCTGAACGCTTATATGGGTGACTATCTGGAGGTCTGAAAGTTCATTTGGGTCTGCGTGTTTACATAGGCGCTCAGAGTGTGCATGAGTGACACTGAGTTTATAAGTCCCTGTGTATGTATTTTCAAAATGTGTGTGACCAAGGATTTATGTGCCTGTGTGTATGTGTATCCTTATATTCATGAGTGTGTTAGTGCATGTTTCTTAGTTGGTATTTCTGAGTACTGTACTCTGCGTATCCAAAATGTGTGTCTGTGAGTGGAGTATATGTAATTTGGGTAAGTGTCTGAGTGTATATCTACTCTGCGTTCACCAGTCGTATTCCAGTGCTTTTGGAGTTGAGAAGGAGGTTGTTACACTGACCCCTCCATTTTTGGAAGTCAACAGTTGTTCACTGTGTACATGCCAATGTACACAAAAGTGCCTGCCTCTAGGCTCAGAGGTGGATCCAGCGCTCTGGTGGGTCTGTTGGGCTAAGCCTGTTAATAGGCTCAGGTCACATTCTGTTGGGAGAACCAGGAGTGGACGTGTGATTTCAGGGGGTGCAGTCCCTCAATGAGTGGTGCACACTGTTTCACTCTGGGCACTGCTGAGTGTACCATTTGTATAAAATCATCTCCTGTGGCAGGCACAACCTTAGCAGGTGAGGGCAGGCAACCTTTGGGCCACTTGTGACATTTCTAGGGACCTCCAGCCTGCCTTCACTTTCACCTAGACAAGACTAAGACTTTGACAATGGTGTGTGTGTGTGTGTGTGTGTGTGTGTGTGTGTCCTGTGTTGCTTGGGTTTTATCTTGTGGGTGCTGCTCCAATGAAGGAGAGCACAAGTAGATGGACATGTGTGCCTAGCATTCAACTCTGGTGCCTGTATGCACACAGTCCTTCCTGGCACAGGCCCCAGTGTGCCACCCACAGGCCCAGGCAGTAGGTAGTAGAGTGTGTTTATATCTAAGAGGAGGTGGCAGGCAGCAGGAGGCCTCAGTTTGTCCTGAGATTAAAGCTGGGTATAGGAGACTCTTTTACTCATTAGGCCAAGTGTACTAGCCTCCCCCAAACACACTGGCCTTGCTGGCAAGAATTATTCCACTTCTCTTATCCCTGTAGATCTTTGAGGCCTTACCTCCACCCCCAACCTTAAATACAGGTCAAAAAGCAGAGAGAGAGGGGTGGACTTAAACTGCAAGCCCAGGACAATTCCCTGGGCGTAGGTAGATTTCCAGAATTGTAATAAGTGAGGGCAGAAATCTAAGAGGTGGGGAATTAAAAAGGATTCCTGGGCGAAGGTGCAAGAAAGGGAACCTGGAAACCGTCTCTGCTCCATCCCACCTTCTCTCCCTGCCTTGGGTCCCTTGGTAGCTGGGACTCCTAGAGTTGCCCTTCCCAGAAAGAGGACTAGGTGTTGTGTGTGTGTTGGGAATGGGTCAGAGGCACGTGAAGGTCTGGGGGAGTGTCTGCGTGGCTGGCACGGCTGCCTCTCCCTACGAGCTGTCTACCAAGAATGTAATTCAGGGCGGTCGATGGGCTCTTTGATTAGTTCAATCGCCTGAATAATCGTTTAATCAATAAAGCATTTCATTCCTCAGTAAGGCTGACCTGGGTGGGGCTGGGGGTCCTAGTCTGGCCGCAGTTTAAAAATCTAGAGAGCCACGCCCCCTCTTCTCCTTTGGGCTGGGGTAAGGGCCGCCTGCCTTGCAGAGGGCAGACCTCTCAGGTGACACTTCCTCCTGTCTGCACCTGCCTAGATCCTAGCTGGGGAAGGAGGAGAGAGCTGAAAAGCTGGCGGGGGGGGGGGCGTTAGGGGGGGACGGACATCCATGTCTGGTTTCAGGGGTTTTGTCTGGACTTTTCCCATCTCCCAACTTCAAGGCCTTTAATGGGCCACTTGACCTCCTTTTCCTTCCTTCAGAACTGTGTTCCATTCTCTCTCATGACCTCAGTTTCCCCATCTGTACAATGGGGAAGGAGTGTATATACTCTTTTAGCTCTAAGCCCAAGATCAGGTAAGGTCAGCCTTGAGCACAGAACCACTTAAAGATCCTCCTGTCTAGCCTCTTCATTGGGGTACCAAAAAAGGAAAAACTGATGTCCAGAAAGGGGCAAGGACTTGTCTGACATCATATAGCAAGAGGTATGGAGGGAGTAGGACTGGAAGGTGACTTCTCTACCCTTAGACCTCTCATTCTTGCCAAGAGAGGAGATAGAGCTCCATCTGTCAAGGTCCCCCTTGGAGAAAAATGACTATTGGCCAAGCTGGCTTAAGGAGTCCAGGGCCAGGAAGGCTAGGAGAGGCCGAACACTGTCTGAGCATCAGCATCCAGTCTCCCAGCATCCAGAATGAGCATGTTGGAATAACAGTCCCCCCTAACCATGGATCTTTATCTTTCAGAACGTTGGGAGGCCTCATCTCAGGGGTTCTTCTCCCCATTAGATATATAGGGAAGCTGAGCCCTAGGAGAAAGGGCCTTTAGCCTGAAATCTTTGGGAGAGAAAAAGGTAGTGCCAGAGCGCCTGTCCTGCAGGGCGCATTGGTGGTGATAGCAAACCCTGACAAAGGCAGTTTACATGGTTTTTGAAAATTTTGGTAAATTCCACCTACTTCAACAATGCCTACAGGAAGACCCTGATCCAGCTGCAGGAATGACACAATCCACTCTGCCCAACTATCTGCGTAACCTGGGTCAGTTGCTCTCTCTCTTTGATACTTTTTTAAATGAGGGTCGGAGAGGGAGCACCTGGATGGCTCAGTCAAAAGAGCATGCGATTCTTGATCTTGGAGTTGTGAGTGGAAGCCTCCATGTTGGGTATAGAGATACTAAACAAAACCAAACCTTAAAAAAACAAAATAAAATGAAGGTTACAGAGAGAGGACCTACCAAGTTAGGGCTGAGATGGGAGCAGCATCTCTAACTCTCCCAAATTGAGCAACTAATCTGAGCCCCGTAAGCCTTGCTTTGCCTGAAGCAAGAGCAGGGATGTGGGCTGGAAGAGTCGATTTCAGGGCCCTAGAGCCCTACAGCAGCCTCAACCCCCCTCCCCAGAGGCCCCTGGCTGTACAGTAGGGGGTGACCCTGCGGAGAGAAAGGGGAGACAGGGAGGGAGCCTGTTCTGAGTGAAGGCAGGTTGCTGGCTCAAGATCAAGGTGGACATGTTCCTCTGCAGGTATTTTGGGTTCTCAATAATTCTCAATGGGCTTTCTTTCAATAGCAAAACTTTCAAAGACATTTCTACTTCTGTAAATTGAGTTTCTTCCCGGATAATTTCCTTTCCCAATCTCCGCCTCCAGCGCTTAGCACAGGGGACCCTGCCCAAAGTTGTGTGGTTGGGGGAACGTAACCCCCAACTGTTAACACACAGCGAGGTCCGACAGGATTCAGTGCCAGGGCTTTGAGACCAGAAAGTCTCACTGACTTGTGGCTGGTGAGCCCTCGGAGGAGGCAAGGCTGTGGCTCAGAAGCCCAGCTCTGTCATAGAATCGCTGTGTCATCTTGGGCTAGTTGTGTAACTTCTTGGGTCGCCGTTTGGTAGCCTGTAAGGTTGGGCTAGGTGGCCAGGTTGTCAGGTCTGGTGGCGCCTCTTGGCATTAGAAGTTCCCGGAAGACAGCCCGCTTGGAGGCGGTGAATAACCCTACCCAAAGGGAAACTTCCTCTGTCCTGGGCACCTGTCGCCCCACAAATTAGACAGCCCAACACCGTCCTGAAGCTGCACACTCTCTGTGTGAAATGGGAATCCAAGCTGTTCCTGCTCGGTTAATATCTGTGGTTGCATCCCATCCCGGCAGTACTCAGTATTCTGTCCCTGCCGCACAGGTATTGGGAGAAAAACTGGTTTGTACCGGCATACCCTATCTAACTGGATTGTTTGATTTGGGAGCATACACCCCCTCACTCCACCCCAAAACTCCCTGCTAATCCCAAGAGTGGCTCTGGAGAGGCCCTTCTGAGAAAGAAGTTCCCAGCCCACAGCCTTGCCTCTACTTTAGGCTTTCTATGTGACCTTGGACAAAGCCTTCCTCGCCTCAGGTTAGGCATCTGTAAAATGGGGGAAAACATAGCCTCGGGGTCCTTTAGGCTCTAAGACTTTAGAATTTGAGTTTCTAAGCCTGAACTCAATGAGTAGGGCTGGAGGTGGAGGTCCCACTGGCTGCATCCCTCAGGGAGTCCCCAGACTCCCGCTTCTCCAGGAACGCTGAGCCACTACATCGAATTCTAGTCACTTTTTATCCACCGCTCACCTTGGGGGTGGAGAGAATGTGAGAACTTTAACTCATCCAGGTTCCTCTAGGCTTTTGCGTTCTTCCTGCTTCAAGGCAGAGGTAGGGTTGAGGGAGTGGAGGAAGGACTTGGAGGTTTCCCTCTATCCCCCAGGATCCAGACCTGCGGGGTTCCAGACAAAGGAGAGAATGCAGCCACTCCACCCCAGTGCACATTACAGCCTTCTGGGCCCCCAGAGGCCCGCCTGGGGCCGTTTAACGCAGCTGTGCCCTGGAGGGGGTGGGGACGGTGTCAGCACCGGAAACTTATCTACCGGTCAGGGGCAGCTGGGTCTGGGACAGTAACAGGAGGTGAGACTGAGGGCTGACCCCAATGTAGGGTGTGAGAAATGGGGTAGAGGTAGAGAGAAGGGAGACTGAGGCAGAGAATGAACTAAGAGCCTTCTCAGGGTCAACCTGGGCTGTCTTCCTTATAAGCTCAGATCTGGAGAAGCCATCTCAGAGCCCTTCCTCTTTTTTTTTTTTTTTTTTTTTGTGGACTTATGTTTACTATTAGAGGATCATTACTTGTG